ATAATTTAAATTATAAATAAATATTTATAATTGTATAATATTAAATATAATATTACAATGAATAACAATTGAGAGATTACATCATGTCATATTTTGACTTTTAAAACTATGAGTGGGACTATTAAAGTCAACTGCAAAAAAGCAAAAACGATTTTACATTTTATACACGACTTTACATTTAATTATAAATGGAAAATAGAAGGCTTTTTTTACATTTTCCACAAATATAGATTATTAAGATCTAAAATCGGAGAAAGCACAATACGTCAGAAGTAGGATAGAAGTATTTTAGCAATTAATTGCGTTAGTATTAGTAGTATTTTAACATGAAATTACACACTTACCCTTTTAACTTTTTATAATCAGATCTAGAAAGATGTCTGACGTTCAATTAGCTAGGTCAATGAGATTACTGAGTATTAACCCGCGATCATTCAGATATCTGAACCTTTAACTACAGATTCCTTATTAGCAGATCAACCGATGGTCAGACTGAAACACTGATGCCTTATGCCGAGTTCACACTGCATGATTTTAGCCCGATTTTTCACTCGCCGACAGGGTTTGCGAAATTGCCGACAAATGCCCGAAATCGGAGTCAAATCGGTGCTCGTTCACGCGAGTGACAATCACGCAGTGTGAATTATCAAAGACGCGATCTGAGGGAATCGCCGACACGCGCCGACACCCGTGAAATATTTGGCATGCTAAATATCTGGAGCTGTCGGCGATTCACAATCACACTGTGTGCAATGATTTCTGACCGAAAACTACATCGGCGATGATACAGGGCAGCGGGAAGTTCGGGGAGGAGTTATAGACCAGAATATCAGTATTTTAATAGATATATGAACAATTATATCATACAGAAACAAGCACAAACATTTGCTTTCCCAGCCACAACATCAGCATAACAGTTACTGCAAAATTATTTACCTCCAACTCTCTTTGCAGAACACCCAATCCCTGTTCCCTGCATCTCCCTCCTGCATAATCTGTTTTTCTTTTTCTCCTTGTAGCTGGAAATCAGCTCACAGACAATTTGCGGGCTATATATATATTTTTTTAATAATTACAGTCTCGCTCGAGAACTCCGGTCTGACGCACGCGGGTTCTCGCGTTATTTCATTATCACTTCTCGCGTGTGTTTTGTTGTGAAACGTAGTTTGCGGACCAGACAGAGCTGTCGGCGATTCTTCCTATTGTGAAGTCATGCAGTGTGAAACCCCCTGTCGCCGATCCATCGTGCAATGTGAACACAGCAGCGACTGAATGCTACCCCAGATAGTCACGCAGTGTGAAAACAACGGTGACCCGACGAGTTTGAAAATCGTGCAGTGTGAACTCTGCATCAGACAAACACTGTGTGCAAGTGTGACCTGCAGAGCATCTCTTCTGGCCATAACAATCAGTATTATGCCACACCTCATGAAATATGACATACAATGTCATAACTGTCACTGACACTTTCATGAATCAACAGCATCAGACACAGCAGAACATCACTGCTCAAATCAGTGAGAATGAAAACACAACAAAGATGCCAGATGACAAACAGACTGTGAGAATATCACAGGAAAACTAATGCAGCCTGTGATGTGTCTGTGTGCATCAGTCAGCAGCTTACACTTAATACACTTCAAATGTCAAATAAATTGAGAGAATTCAAATTGTAAAATTTCACAATATTACCGTCTTTACAATATTTTTCATCAAATAAATGCAGCTTTGGTGAGCATAACAGACTTCTTAAAAAAAAAGTAAATCTTAAATGAAATGTTTAGTAGTTAAATTCATATTATTTAAGCATGTTATAATTTAATAATAATAATGTGTGTTTATAATTTTTATATATTATTATTATTACTAAATTATGAGTATAAATTAAGACTACATGCAATATTTTTATTAAACTGTACTTTTACCAAACAGCAGAACTATTAGTCAACTGCAAAAAAAAACATTAATATTTATTATTATATAATGTATATATCTGTTTATTATTGTTTAGTGCATGCCATGTTTTTACTTTTAAAAACTGTGCATTTTTCACACTGCAGATTTATTTTTAAAAAAATGAAAACATTCATAAATGCACCTAGAATACAAATACATTAACATTTACATACACTTTAATCTAAAATTGTAATGTTGATTAAAAGTGCATTTGTCAAATACCCTGTAAAAATTCCGACCAGTGAATAATTATATATGCTATAATGCATAATTATTATATAATGCAACATATGTTTGTTTATCATTGTTGTTTTTTTTGCATTCCATGTTTTTACTTTTATAAATTGTGCATTTGTCACACAGCAGGTTTATTGAAATTAACTGCAAAAAAAAGTGTGTGTGTAAATGCAAAAGAAAAAACATGTAATATACATGCAATATACAATATACATACATTTTATATTTACATACATTTTAACCTAGACTTTTATAACTTTTTTTTTTAAATCACGTTATTTGTCAAATATACCAGTGTGAGATGAGATCCTGACCTTTTGCATTGTATATTTTAATCATCTGTCATGTTAGTTATTGTTTTCACTTAATATGGAAAATGCACTTATTTCACTTTTCACTTGTTGTGCAGAAAGCATAGTGGCAGCCCAGCATGTCCTGATCAAATATATTCAGAAATATGAGTTATTTTTTAATGCATTTCAGCTTGATTATGCGGCCTTTAGTGCGCATGAAGAAGAATCCCAGGTGACCAGAGCCTCAGTGACTCACAGAGCTTCATCCAGGGCAGGCAGTTATAGAGTTATAGAGCTCGACTCGGTTGTGACATTAACAGGAGTGGCGCTCTGGCCTTCAGCGTGTCACCAAACCTGCGCGGATCCACCCTTCACCAGCGACAACTAACTAACTAACTAACTAACTAGCTAGCTAGCTAGCTAGCTAACTAGCGCAGCAGCGACCATGACACGTCTGCAGCCGAACCGAACTCATCTGACCCAAAACTCCCCCTCATCAGCACAAACCCCGCTGAACCCCGCTGAACCCCTCCGAAGCGCTTCTCCCGTGTTCCTCACCTGGAAGGGATTGACGTCGACTGGATCTTCAAACGGGTTGGAGTCAAATCCCGACATTATAATGGGCTTTATCCGCCTTTAGAGTCCAAACTGAGAGCGGCACCAGAGCTGCGACCGTTGATGTTTCCTCTCTGCACTTCCGCTCTGAGAGCGTGACGCGCGTGCGCTGCGACGTAGACGGTTGTTAGGTTTATGCGGTAAACGTTAATAATTTGCATAGCAAACATTGTATTAACAAATGAAATGTTCTGATTGTCAATTTAAATTCCGCCTCTTTTTTTTTTTTTAAATGGAACACGATTTTCTAAAAGAGTTTTTGAAAATATTAGCACTTTGTGTAAATTGTATTGATAATTTAGCCTATTTTATTATAAAAATCCGCATTGTTTGTTTATTTATTTATTCTATTTTTTTTATTTTTTGTTGGTGATCAGTGGTTTTATTTCAGTTTTGCATGTTTTATTTCAAATGAATGTTTGAATAATTATTCATTGATTATTTTTAATGTGATAGAAAATATAAAAACATATTTTTTAAAAACAGGATCCTTCCTTTTATTTTGAATAGAAATATAATTATAATAAAGAAATATGTATTTTATAGGTTATAAGTTATACGTTTTTATAGTTTTTTGTAATAGTTAAAAATACAAACAAATGCTCTTTGCTACGCTGCATTGATATTTTTTGTTTGTTATTACAATTGTGTTCATTTGCAATTCGTTTTTCACTTCATTCGTGGTCTTATTTAAACTGAGATGTTTATATGTTATGTTTGCATTATTGTTGTATTGCAAATATTTTGATAGGATGGAAAAGGCAATGTCATGTATTATAGAATTATTAACATTATTGAGCAAGTTTCATCCGACATAATTTATACAGTAGTACTTGTTTTGTAAACGTGTAAAGCAAAAAGGCTGTTATAGCATAGAATATTATTAAAAAATTTTTTTTTTACATTTACTTATTTTATAGTTTATAATGTTAAATGTTGTTTATTATACTTAATACTGAAGTACTTTATACTCTTCGTTTTAATTATACTGAATTAAATGTTATCTCTCTCTCTCTCTATTGTTTTATAATATGAAAATAATTATTTATATTTACATTTAGTCATTTAGCAGACGCTTTTATCCAAAGTGACTTACAAATGAGGACAATAGAAGCAATCAAAACCAACAAAAGAGCAATGATATGCAAGTGCTATAACAAGTCTCAGCTAGCTTAACTCAGAACATGTAGCAAAGTTTTTTTTTTAATTATATAATAAATAAAAAGAAAACAGACAGAATAGAGCAAGCTAGTGTTTGAGGCCTTTTTTTGCTTTTGTTAATTGTATAATAAATAAAAAGAAAACAAATAGATAGAATACAAAAACATTAGAGAAGCTAGTGTTAGTTGATTTTTTTTGTGTGTTTTTTATTTTTTATTTTTGTAAGAAAACAAGCAGTTAGTTCATGAATAGAGTGCAAGTCTAAACGGGGCAAGTTTTTTTAAAGAATAGAATTAGAATAGAGAGTGCTAGAGTTAGAGGGTCAAATAAAAATGTGTTTTTAGTCGATTCTTGAAGATTATAATTATATATTTATAATTTATTTATTTAGTGATTTATCAGACACTTTTATCCAAAGCGACTTACAAATGAGGACTACCTATACAGACATAATAAATTCAGACATAATGTAGCTAAAATTAAAATAAATAACAAATACAAATAATACAAATCAAACGACAGTAGTTTATCAGTAATCCTAAAAAATACAATAAATAATAATAAAATAAAATAAATAATTATAATATAAAAATTATGCATTATATATTTAACCTTTTAATTTTGTCTTCCACAATATACTTCAGATTAAAGAAATCCGAATGTCCTAGATATGCATTAAAAAGTTATTTTACAATATGAATAATGTTTATTTACGTATAAAGGCTCGTGATTGGTTGGCGGGCTGTGACGTCACCATCGTCGCAGACATGGCGGAAGTAAAAGGTGAGTTAAATCTCTGACTGTACATTTCATTCTGTATTTTACGCAACATTGGGTCCCACACAGCGCGAATGGCTCGAGTCCAAACAAGACTGGCTGCCGTTGTCGATGATTTGTGTGTTGTTTGGATGGATTAGTTATTGGATGCTGCTGGATTTGAGCGTGTAAGCATTTCTCATCAATGAGATCCACAGCCATCCGTTCATTCATTTACATGACCGTGATCGGTGTAGAGTCAGATGTCTGTCATGTCTGTTCGCAGTGTTTCCATTGTGCTGTGTGGTGCAGAGCTATGCCTGGGGTAAAGTGGGTCTGGACAGTGAGGTGGCCCGGCTGGTGCTCGGTGGAGACCCTCAGGCTCTCATAGAGGAGGCCAGACCCTACGCAGAGGTACAGTATGGACCATAGACTGACCAGCCCTGCAAAACTGAGCAGATTACTGCAGGGGTTTTTATCTGCTGACCCCAACAAAACACCCACCCAGACTCTCAGCCAAGACGAGAAGCTCCAACACGAATAGATTAGCTATATACAACACTGTTTCAGATTGTTAGAAATGTCATGGAAATAAATGACGGAGAATTCTGTTTTTTGCATATCCTGGAGAATAGTTCACCCAATGATAATACTTATTATTAATATTAACTATTAATTTTATTGTCTACTAATAATTAAAATAATATATCTATAATATTAATAATTAGCATTCATGTTGATATTATTATTATTATTATTAATAATAATAATTACTATTACTATACATGTATAATTGGTGTCAAGTCACCGTTATTTATATAGCTCTTTTTACAATGCAGATTGTGTCAGAGCAGCTGTACAGTATTAAAAAAGGGAAATAGTGTGTCGAAACAGAGTGCCAGACGAGACCAGCAGTTTAATTCTAGGTTGCAACAAAGTGTGCAATATATGTATAATAATACTATTGCTGTTGTTGTTTTGTTACTATTTTCTTTGTTGTTATTATTAGTAGTATTAGTAGTAGCATTAATATATTAGTAACAATAATAAAAAACTAAATATAATGCAGAGATAATCAAACTTTATTATTATTGTTATTATTATTATTTTTTACACCCTACAATAATAAAAAAAATGTCAAATAAAACACTTAATTTTTTCTTTCATTATTTATTTATTTTTGTTATTTTAAATTTATTTTAATTATTTCTTTGTAACACTTGGCTTTTTTCCTACCAATCTTTGGTCATTTGTTATTTCACTCCTTTGCATTCCTTTTTTTTTTTGTTAAGTGAGACCATGTCAATAATGTTAACTTGTAAACTAGCAACAAATTGTTCGTTCTGAAACCTATTAAACATTAAAAAGAATTTGACATTTCAATGGCCATGGGATTGTGAAAGAAAAAGCATGTATTATACAACTCTTGTGGAGGTTCCATAAACAATCACGATTCATCATTATTGAACAGACTTGAACACAAGCACAAATGTCTCTGATAATAGCAGCTCACTTAAAGGTCAGCGTGACATTCACTTCATGTGTCAGGCTATTAATAAAGCCACAGCATGTGCTCAGATGTGTTAACATGTTTTACTGTTGTATAAATAACCATCTTAAAGGAGCTTTTTTGACATTCTCAAATTAAGTTTTTGGTGTATATATATATATATACAGTGGGTACGGAAAGTATTCAGACCCCCTTAAATTTTTCACTCTTTGTTATATTGCATGCCTGGGGTCAAAGGTCAAAGACACATTCCACGGGCAGCTCCCGTTCCTTTTCAAAGTGCTGTCCGTCAACACGGCTCTGTCCATCCAGGCGCATCCCAACCGGGTGAGATCCGAGACAGTTTCCCTTATTAAAGTACTATGGAATAGGGTTGGGCGATGTCTACCAAATTGGCATCGGACAATGTCTACAGTAGAGGTCGACCGATGTATCGGTTTTGCCGATTAATCGGCACCGATAGTTGATTGCTGGAACTATCGGTTATCGGCGAATCTCAAAAGTGAAAGTGAAAGTAAAATGAGAGCGCGCAATCGAAAGCGGTATCAGTAGCGGCTCCCTGATGCCCGCAATTTATATACAATCGCCTATACTTGCCCAACGATATAATTGCGAGAAAAAGTATTGAATTGGGGGGATGTTAAGCTTACATCGTGATGTCTGTCAGCCATCGGCGAAGTACGATTGCGTTGTCTATCGGCCCAACCCTACTATGGAACAGTAATGTTTGCATTACAAGGATTAATGCTTATTTTTTTGTGCTTTCACAAAAAAATCTATTATATCGTGGTCTTAAGTGCAAAAATTTAGGAGAGCATAACAACATTTTAGGGGCGCAATGAAAATATCAAATAATGTGATGTGGGATACAAGGGAGAAATTTACAAGCAAAATTATTTCATTTTACACACTAGGTTTTTTATTATTTCTGCTTCAAACTTTATTTAATAATTAAGTATTTGTAGGCCTCCTCATATATATATATATATATATATATATATGTATATGTATATATATATATATATGTATGTGTGTGTATATATATACAGTGGGTACGGAAAGAATTCAGACCCCCTTCTATTTTTCACTCTTTGTTATATTGCAGCTATTTGCTAAAATCATTTAAGTTAATTTTTTTTCCTCATTAATGTACACACAGCACCCCATATTGACAGAAAAACACAGAATTGTTGACATTTTTGCAGATTGTTGTGCTGCTTAATATTGTTTTGGAACCTGTGATACTTTTTTTTCAGGATCCTTTGATGAATAAAAAGTTAAAAAGAAGAGCATTTATTCAAAATAGAAATATTTTCTAACAATATACACTACCGTTCAAAAGTTTGGGGTCAGTACATTTTTATTCTTTCTTTTTTTTGAAAGAAATTAAATATTTTATTCAGCAAGGATGTGTTAAACTGTTAAGAAGTGATAGCAAAGATTTATATTGTTATAAAAGATTTATATTTTGAATAAATGCTGTTCTTTTTAACTTTTTATTCATCAAAGAATCCTGAAAAAAGTATCGCAGTTTCCAAAAAAAATATTTGGCAGCACAACTGTTGATAATTCTAATAATAAATCAGCATATTAGAATGATTTCTGAAGATCATGTGACACTTTATACTGGAGTAATGGCTGATGGAAATTCAGCTTTGCATTACAGAAATAAATTATATTTTAAAGGATATTAAAAATAGAAACCATTATTTTATACTGTACAAACATTTTGCAAGATTACTGTTTTTTTTACTGTATTTTTTATCAAATAAATGCAGCCTTGATGAGCATAAGAGACTTCTTTAAAAAACATTACAAGTCTTACTGATCCCAAACTTTTGACCGGTAGTGTATATATACACATGCCGTTTGAGATCAGTAACATTTTTATGTTTTTAAGTTCATTTTTAAGTGCTACGTCTCTTCTGCTCATCAAGGCTTTATTTATTTGAACAAAAATACAGAAAAAACAGTAACTTTCTGAATTATTATTGCTATTTAAAATAACGGTTTTCTATTTTAATATACTTTAAATAATAATTTATTTCTGTGATGCAAAGCTGAATTTTCAGCATCATTACTCCAGTCTTCAGTGTCACATGATCCTTCAGAAATCATTCTGATATGCTGATTTATTATAAATGTTGGAAAAAGTTGTGCTGAATTATTATTTTTTGGAACATGTGATACTTTTTTCAGGATTTTCTGATGAATAAAAAGTTAAAAGGAACAGCATTTATTTAAAATATAAATCTTTTGTAACAATACACACTACTGTTCAAATCTTTGGGGTCCGTAAATGTTTTTGCAAGAAATTAATACTTTTATTCAGCAATGTGTTAAATTGAAAAAAAAGTAATAGTAAAGACTTGTACTGTTAGAAACGATTTATATTTGTATTAAATGCTGTTAATTAATTGTTGTTAACTGACAGGAATTGGCTGCTAGACTCCATGCACAGTTTCCTGAACATTATCCAGACAACAACCACAAACCGGAGATGGCCATCGCTCTCACTCGGTTTGAAGGTCTCTGCGGCTTTCGGCCGATGGATGAAATCTTGGGCTTCCTCAAAAGTAAGTGTTCAATGAACTGACTGAAAAAAACAGTCAGATAAGCCAAACTCAAAAATGAATCCTATTTATGCTGTTATTATTATTTTTTCTCTTTAAAGAGGTCATCGGATGCGACATGCACTTTCACATGTTGTTTGAACTTAAATGTGTTGGCAGTGTTTGCCCACAACCACCCTATAATGATAAAAATCCACCCAGTGCTTTTTTTTAATCCCTATAAATAGGGCTGCACGATAAATCGCATGCGATATTTAATGCGCATCTTGTCAGAAAGCCGGTTCTGTAATCAGCGGTAAATCTCCATCACGATTTATGCGCTTTATCGTGCAGCCCTACCTATAAATAATATCCCCTTTCTCAAATCAAGCCGTTCTCAGATGCCTGTCAGTGTGACGTCACACAGACCCAGGCCCCTCCCACGATTGTTGATTGACACTAGCGTTTTACCTTAGCTCCGCCCTGAGTGAGTGAGCTGCATTGTTTCACCGCCGGGGCAGATGTAGACAAGAATGACTCCTAAGTGATTGAGGTGTTTTGTTGTTGGATGTAATAATGAACACAGCAGTCGTCATTTACTCCCGACATCTGAGCCGCTGAAGACGCAGTGGATTACGTTTGTTTCTGAAGGGAATGCGCCCCCGATCTACATAAATGCGTTTATGTTCGCGTGAATCATTCGTGATCCAGCTTCACCTACAGAAGAAGTGAGTATAAGGTTCTTTTATGAATCTTTGCAAATCGCATTTCCTAATAACGTGCTAGTTAGCAAGTTCCTCAGTTCCGCGGCTAAAGTAAACAGTGTCATGAGAGCGGCTCGTCACCCAACGGAAGAGAGGGGCGGGGCCAGCAGAGCTCATTAGCATTTAAAGGAACATGCACTAAAACGGGTCGCTGTGTGCAGAGTTGTTTTTGACAGGGTAAAAAGGGTGTTGTTTTACACTACCATTGAGAAATTTTAACCAAAGTATGTTATAGACTTTTCATTAAGACCCTAAAGAATCATATCAACTTGTGGAAAGTGGGCATCCAATGACCCCTTTAAATATCCCAACACTTGGAAATATGTCACATTAGAGAAGTTAAATGGGTTGCAAAGAGCATTTCCCATGGACCACTGCATGGTTTTTCAGATGTCCCAGAGTTCCGCGCGCTGGTCGGTAATGAAGCTGCTGAGGAGCTCCAGAGCGCCGATGGAGACCCGTGCCGGACGTCTCTCGCTCTGAAGAAATGTTTCACCAGGATGATGAACTGTGAGAAGAAGCTGTTCGTTGATCAGCTCAACATGCTGGTCAAACGCATCTCAGAGGAAGGTGAGAGGAAACCGTGCAGGACTTCCACTCCCTCGTGTGCTAACATGTTATTCACGTTATATATATATCCCATCAATTCAGATGAAACTCGTCTGACCTGTTCTTTTGTTCCAGATGCTGCAGGCAAAGACACCTCCGGAAGTAATGGAGAACTGCTGCTGCGGCTGCATTCCCAGTATCCGGGGGACATCGGATGCTTTTCCATTTACTTCCTGAACCGTATCATGCTGCAGCCGGGGGAGGCCATGTTCCTGGGAGCAAATGAGCCTCACGCTTATCTGTCTGGAGGTCAGAGGTCACCACAATACTAATAAAACACGTTTTGGGCCATGTACCATGATAATACCATGGTATATTTTTGTAGAGTCTGAAAAAATCAATTAAAAAAAAATCTAAATAGACAAAGTTTTGTGGTTGCTGCTTAGAGTAGGTTGTGTAGTTGTAATTTTTGTGAAATATATTAATTAATCTTCATTTAATATTCAATTATTCCATGTGGGTTGTGTTAGTTGTACTTATTTAAAATATATTCACTAATAATCCATATATTCCTTAATATTTATTTATTTCGTGTAGGTTGTGTAGTTGTACTTTTTGTGAAGTATATTTATTTATATTCACTTATTAACCCATTATAATCAATTAATATTCATTTATTCCATGTAGGTTGCATAGTTGTTGTTTTTTGTGCAATATATTCATTAATATTTATTTAATAATAAATCATATTTATTTTATATTCATTAATATTCATTTAATCCATGTGGGTTGTTTAGTTGTATTTTTTTGTGAAATATAATAATTAATATTCACTTAATAATAAATAATATTTATTTAATATTCATTAATATTCAAATGTTCCATTTAAGTAGTATAGTTTTTTTTTGTGTGAAAAATAAAACATGTTTTGGACATGTACCATGGTAAAAATTCCATCATAATCTATTATTACCCGTGATTTTAGTTTGCATAATTTAATTAAAATAACACATTTAATTGCTTTTATTTTTGTTCACACGTTTTCATTTTTAATAATGAACCTACAGGACGAGCATATAGGCTTATGCATTTATTTATTTATGATGAGAACAGATGAACAGAGACTGCGTCACTTTTCATGTTCAACACCCCGCAGTGACAGCAGAGGCCACTAAAAACAACAAAATATGCTGGGCTGGGTAGAAAAAAAAAGACAGCAGAGACCACTAACAACAACAAAATATGCTAGGGCTGGGTAAAACAAAAAAACGATTTCTCGATTTGAATAGATTCTAATTTTTATGAACCAATATCGATTGTTAAATCCCAATCAATGCTGTTTTCAGTTGATGAATGAACAGTACATATAGTGCGCATATATACATATAGTACAAAGCTCTGTGCTTTGTTACTTTTGATATGAAACAAAATCTCAGATTTCAAATTCTGTCCATTTTATTAGGAAATTCAAGCAATAAATTCTGTTTTGGCGCTCTTTAATGTGGCGTGATAGATCGCTGTAGCTTAAACTGGGTACTCGCCTGTGCGTAATCAAACGCGTAGCAAAAGACTCGTGACAGTGCGACATCTCGCACTCGCCACCAACTGGACAGGGGTGGGAATTACAGCTACAATTTACAATAGATCACCCTCAGTGTAATCTGTCAAAGTGACGGACGGCCTTCAGATTTTTCCGTCACTGATAAAACAAATTCCGTAAATGACGGACAATTTTCAGTTAACACGACCTCTGGTTGAACCCCTGATGTCGCATGGACCATTTTATCGATGTCCTTACTACGTTTGTGTGCATTGATCGTGGTAGTACCCTTGCTGTCTATGCAGAGTCAGAGAGCTCTCAGATTTCATCAAAAATATCTTAATTTGTGTTCCGAAGACGAACGAAGGTCTTGCAGGTTTGGAACGACATGAGGGTGAGTAATTAATGACAGAATTTTCATTTTTGGGTGAACTATCCCTTTAAGAGTAATATTATATTATCTTCAGATCCCCACCTCGGCGCGGCAGTACACTGTGAGCGCACTGGACTCCGCCAGCATCCTGCTGGTCATCGACGGAGAGGCCGTCGCCACGTCTGCTGCGGCCCTCTCTGACATCACTCTGACACGAGGCTCTGTGCTTTTCATTTCAGCCAATGAGAGCGTCTCTTTACAGGTGACATCATCGTCAGGCATGACCATGTTCAGAGCCTGCTGCTTACTGTAGGAGACGTCCGCTTCATAAAAGTAATCTGTTCTGTCCTGATCTAAACCAACAGGTCAAACAAAGTTCAAGTAGAAATCCCATGGTCACGTGTTTTTGGCTTCATCTCGAACATGCATGGCGAATAACCTCGATTAAAGGAACAGTTCACCCAAAAATGAAAATTCTGTCATTTACTCAGACTCAAGTCGTTCCAAGACTGTATGAGTCTCATTCTTCCACTGAAAACAAAAGAAGATATTTTAAAGAATGTTAGTAAGAAAATAGTTTCTGGTCGCCATTGACTTCCTTATTTTTTTCCACACTATGGAAGTCAATATGCACCAGCAACTGTTTACTTACTTGGAACAACTTGAGAGTAAATGATGACAGAATTTTCATTTTTGGGTGAACTATCCTTTTAAGTTGGAGTATTATGATGACATTTAGTGTTAAAGTAGCTATGCTTAATCAATAAATAACAAAATATGTAATGAAACGGATTGAATTATGATTCTGCAACATGAAAACCTCTGCATGTTCTTTTGAAATATGTAAAAGTATATAATTCCTTTGAGTCAGCATGAAATGCTGTTCACACCATTTTGCTTTAATAATGTGACATTTACGAGAAAAAAAAAATGTAGGATGGAATTTGGTTGGACGATAAAATGTGGGAGTTCCAGAATGAAGTCAGACCAGAATGAGAGTTTAAACCACCAGCATTAAAGCAACAGTTCATCCAAAAATGAGTTTGCTGAAAATGTAGTTACCCTCAGCCCATTCAAGATGTAGATGAGTTTTGGAGAAATGTAGCATTACATCACTTGCTTACCAGTGGACGGTGTTGCCAAGTCTGCAGTTTTCCCTCAGAATTGGGTTACTTTTACACTGTTGCCGCGGGTTGAATCAACCCCAATAACGTGATTTTTAACCCCTGGAATGCGAATTTCACCATGGGAACCCTTCCAAAAAAACTTGTGCTTTACCCCCGAAATGCAATTTTTACAGGGCTAGTTTTGAGTAGCAATTTTGGGCGGGTTTTGTTGTGAAAACCTGGCAACCTCTGCAGTGAATGGGTGCCGTCAGAATGAGAGTTCAAACAGCTGATAAAAACATCTCAATAATCCACACCACTCTCCAGTCCATTAATTAATGTCTTGAGAAGTGAAAACGGTGTTTGTAAGAAACAAATACATCAAGATATTTTTAACTTTTTAATAAAATATGGATTACTTGTGGATTATTGTGGTGTTTTTATCAGCTGTTTGGACTCTCATTCTGACGGCACCCATTCACTGCAGAGGATCCATTGCTGAGACACTGATGCAATGCTACATTTCTCCAAATCTGATGAAGAAACAAACTCATCTACATCTTGGATGACGTGAGGGTCAACACATTTTCAGCAAATTTTCATTTTTGGATGAACTATTCCTTAAAGAAAGCAAACAAAGCCAGTTTTGATTTCACGTTGGCGCATATAAGTCAAATGCACGGATGCATGATCACTCACTATTGGCTGCAAGATATGAACATTTTATGAAACGAAATTTGTTCCATCAGAGATTTTTTGCATAAGGATGTAACACCTTTTTTGCATGTTCAAAAAAAAAAAAACCCAAATGGAGCACAGTAACAATTTTACTTTTACATTAAAACATGGTTAACATACACTTGAGACCGATTTTATTCTATTTCATGGTACTACTGCTAAAGAACAGTGAGTCCTTGTTACGGATACACTCTTCCATGAAGAACATACATGGTAAAAAAAAACAGTTTTATTGAAGAAGTTCTTGCTAAACGAAGCACTCCTGTGACAGACACGAGTTTTGTGATTTGATTACAAGTGCAACTGATTTTAAAAATAACCCTGCAAGTGTTTTCATACATGTGAAACTTTGTTACCGATTTTTATCCTCCCTTATAAGCGACTGTATGGCTTGATCTGTGGTTATGCTTTATTGCTGTATTTACTATTTGCACTAGCAGTGTGGAGAGCACAAAGGATGCTGGGAATTACCGGCATCCTGATGTTTGTTTACTGTATTTTTAGTGGCCTCTTCAGATTCGTACATGCAAAACCAGAAGACTGACCTCAAACGTGTTGATTTCCGTGATTCTTTCTATATTTTTGGAGCCGTGTTATTCTGAAGTGCTCTGGGATCCAAGCATGCGATGGGTGGCAGAAGTCTGAGTGAATGAATGTATGGTGCTTTCTGTGCTGGAATGGAGCATGTGTCTGATAAGAAGAACTCTGTACGTAATCCCTAATAAATAATGCTTCTGTAACCTTTCATCTGCTCATTTCTGACTTTTTTTTACGAGCTGAACTTAAACAACAGGTTTCCCAGACAAAGGTTGTGTTGCTGTTCTTACGCTGTTTACTTCTGGATGGAGTTCAACTAGGATATGAAAGCAAAATTTCATAAAACAATGCATTTTGGAGTGCATGTCATGATCGTGTTATATTTCAAAAGTCTGTACATACAGTATAGACTTACAAGACATAATGAAGCTTTTAAAAAGGCAAGAATTGCAGTCAAAAAATATTTGTCTAAAGCTTTTATAATGATGTAATATTTATTTAAAGCTGCAGTCCCTAACTTTTTTTTTTGTGTTCAAAATTTATATAATAAGTGAGTACACCATGAATACATTGAACCGTGTTTTTGGCTTGTCCTGGATCACTACGGTACACCTATAATAAGTGTTTATATTCGGACTATTTTAGACTGGTTCGGGTAGGTACCGCTGCGGAGTAGCACAGTACCTGCGTGATTCGCCATAGACATAAACAGAGAAGTAGCTCCGGCTACAATGTTCTTCCGCAAGACGCACGCAGTTCTGTTTATTAACCGCTAGAGCGCCAAAAGTTACGGACTGCAGCTTTAAATATTATTCACCATTGGTATTGAATTATTGTTAACTTCTGTATGTTACATGTAATTTTGTTTTAAAATTGTTTTAACAAAATTTAAAATTTTACTAGAAAAATGCACCATTTTATTAAGCAAATTCATTAGGTTGTGAAGATCTAGTCCTGATATGTAAATGAAGGTTAATAGTTGATCCCTATGGGCCTCCTCCCAAAATCAGATTGATTATTGACTATTAAAAAAAATAGATAATTAAAATAAGAATAATAAATAAAATATAATATTAATTTTAAAAAATTCACATATACTAGAACTAAAATAATAATAAATAAATAATTTAAATTAAATATATAACATTTAAATATAATATACATAACGCATCAATAGTAATTGATAAAAGCTGAGCACCAATCAGTATATTAGAATGATTTCCGAAGGATCGTTTACGTAAAATGATAAATTATATAAATAAACATTTTATAAAACTAAGATTTGAGAAATTATAAAAAAAATAATTGATGATAATCAATAAAAATATTAGCATTTAAAATTACCTAAACATAATCAAAATACAAATAAAATGTATAAATACAATTTATTAAATAACTAAATTAAATATAAAAAAAATAATCAAATATACAAGTATTTAAAAACATTTATTTATTTAAAAACATAAATATATAATTCGTTGATAACCATAACCACACAAAATATTACCAATGAACAATATTGCACAATAAAAGCATCTTAACTTTATAACTACTGATTTAAATAAAAGTGATGTGTGCTTTAACACGTTTAATCATGAATCAGACGTCCAAACATTCCTCTGCTCTTTCTTCTCTTGCAATATCCAGCGCTTTACTGAAACGCTCACATAAACCGCTCTGTCTAACTGGAGCTTGATTGACAGCTGCAGTAGCCAATGAGTCGAGAGTGAAAATGTGCTGATGAATCTGATTGGCTGTGGGCTTGAGGGCCCAGTAGAGTTTCTGCAGGGCTTGTACGTCCTCTAGAGCATTATGGGCCGCATATGAAACTCCCAGGAGGGTCTTAACCAAGTTCTCCTGCTTGAAGCTCTGGAGACCACTGTCTTTGAGAAGCTTACGGGCCAAAGGAAGGTTGTCCACGAATCCAGAAACCTCTTTCTGGAAGTCTGACCTCAGGCTGAACTCATCCAGAGCTCTGGCCAAAACGTGACAGTCAAACCTGCGGATGTTGTGACCCACCAGGAGCGGCCGACCCAACATCTGGAGGAAGGTTATGAAGGAGACCAGGGCTTCTCGGAGAGAGCTGGTGAGCACCGGCCTGTGATGGAGAAACAAACGCTGGTGTCTCACACTGAAACCCGTAATCCTGGACGCCCCGGGCTGCATCGGCCGACGGGGAACCATGAAGAGGTTAAGAGTGTGACCTCCACTCACTGCGGCCAGCTGGACGATATCACACGAGGCATCTGGAGATGGACAATATATGCAATAAGCATTGTTGGGAGGGTTACTTTGGAAATGTAATAGGTTACAGATTACAAGTTACCCTATTTAAAGGGATAGTTCACCCAAAAATGAAAATTTGATGTTTATCTGCTTACCCCCAGGGCATCCAAGATGTAGGTGACTTTGTTTCTTCAGTAGAACACAAATTATGATTTTTAAGTCCAGCCGTTGCAGTCTATCAGTCGTATAATGCATGGCAATGGTAACAAAATCTATGAGAGTAAAAAAAACATGCACAGACAAATCCAAATTAAACCCTGCGGCTCGTGACGACACATTGATGTCCTAAGACACGAAACGATCGGTTTGTGCGAGAAACCGAACAGTATTTATATCATATTTTACCTCTAATACACCACTATGTCCAACTGTCTTGAGTGCGCGCACGGCTTCCGGTGCGTGCGGTGTGTACGCGCTCTGGCGTAGTTTATGTTAATGGGTGTGTTGATATCCAGCCGAAGAGCAATCAACCATAACTTCAGGCGAGCAGGCTCAGAAGTTGGGAATACGTGGAAAGTCTGTAACTATTTCAATTACTTTGTTAAAGTAACTGATTACTTTTTGATTACTTTTCTAAATTTAAATTTCTATTTTTTTTCTACATTTCAGGCAGGGTTAACCTTACAGTAGAGCTCAACACTGATTACTGTCAGACTTTCAAAAGTCTTAATAACAGATTACAGTTACATTTATTTTGTAATTAAATTACGTAATTCTATTACATGCAACTAGTTACTCCCCAACACTGGCAATAAGTAACATTTAAGCAAAAATATATAATAATAAAAAAAAAACCCATAAAATAACTGGTTTCTATTTCAATATATTTTAAAATTTAATTTATTCCTGTGACGCAAAGCTGAATTATTGACAGCAAAAAGTTTTTAACGTTAATAATAATAAGACCATTATTAAAACTGATTATCAGCATAATCGAATTATTTCTGAAAGGTCATTTACATACAATTATAAATAAATAATAGGAATAAACATTTTATAGTCTAGGATTTGAGAATTTGATGCCCAAAAATGCTGTAACAAGGCCATAGATAGGCTAACTTTTTTTGTTTGCTTGATTCATTCAACCGTTTAAGTACATAATTCTGCATTTCTCGTGGTTGATAATGATTTTGTTTATAAAATTACATACCTAAACCAGTTGTCTCTAAATCAAAAAACACAGTAGAGGGTGGATGCAGTGAGAAAGAATCCATTTTTAATTTTAAACTTAACAGAAGTTGCGTTTCTTCTACTATGGCGGAGGTTTGCTCATGAATATTAATTAAGTTACGTGACGTTCGTAAGTATTCCGAACTGATTGGCTTAAGGACAAGGCGGGCGCTAATCGACAGGCGAATGAACGAACGATTATGAT